CGTCTTTGAGGTCCTAGGTGCCAAGGAAGGAACTCCAAACCTCACCCCACTACATTTTTCCTGATTACACTGAGTTCAAGTGCAGCCTATGCTTAACAGGATAGGAACAGTGTGCTCGCTAACAAATGTTTTATTTTCTCTCTCTTTCGTTATTCTTTTATTTAAGAGCAAAAGCAGAGTTATATGCTTTATATATCTAGAAATATAATACTTTCCTTGCAAGGAGAGTGAAACATGGAAAAGTGGAACACATTTTGCAGTTATTGTTAGTATTTCCACTTAGTGATAGTGTTAGCTTTGCTGTTCTTCGCACTCTAGCAACTGTAATGATGACAAGACTTTCATCCTGTGGGTTGGTCAGAAAATCTAATAAGCCTTTTTGGCAGACAGAATGGATTGAAGAAGTGAGATCTCTTTGTTTCTTGGAATTGATACCGACATTGATACTATTATTGATAATTGATATTGTCTCATGCTGTCACTTATTTATCACATTGTCCTAAAGATTTTATGATTATTTTAACCTCTATCCAACAGACTTCTGTCTCAAAAGGCTTCTGCTTAAAAAGACACATATGTCCTCTAGAGTTTCAAGAACAGCTTTTGCTATTGATATGGTAATCACGGGTGTACTGCTGCTTAAAAGAAATATGTACATTTTTATGCATTTTAATTAATTTCACTTGTTCTTCAATCTGCTTGTTTAATTTCCTTATTGACCCTATGCTCATATATGGAAAAAAAAACCCAAAACAAAACATAGACGATTTTTTCTGAATCTGGCCATCTCCCTAAGTAAGAGTTGCTTGACGTACAGACTTGAGGATTGGGCCACAACAGCTCACCTGTACTCAGAGAGCTGAGATAGGCTCTGCGTGGCTTCCTGCCAGGAACAGAATCCCTTTTCATGAAAGCGTGAAGCCTCGACAATGTTACTTTCTGTCAAAATTTGTAATTAAATAAAACTGAGCAGAAGTCAAAGCTAAAGAAAGCCATAGAGAGAAACTTAGACCAGTGTACACTGCGTGTAAGTGCAAAATATTTTTTGACAAATACAATATACTTCCACAGCAAGTTTCAGTTTTACCGAATTGGTGTTTTCTGACAAAAACACGTCTATTTTGGCCTGTACCTGTAGCAATTTCACATCTCTTTTTCCAGTCTGCATGAGGTGTTGCCAAAATTTCTCCCATTCCTCGCCTGTTTTCACCCATGTTACTGCTGGTTAACAGTAGTGGCTCACCTTTTTCTGCTCCTGGGGTTTGATGAGGTAGAAAGACTTAAACAAGGGAAAAAGCTGTCTTAAGGAACCTGACTTCCATGAGTATGGTAAAGGGCAGATTACAGTCTTTCCTTAACTTAGAAAATTAAACAGAAACTAATGCATGTCAAAGATCAAATAGGCAAGGAATAATCTGCTGCTGCAATTACTACCAACAGGGACTGATTCAGTTAATACTTTCCAAATACAATTTGACATCTCATAAAAATTACAGCTAAATCAACAGAAACTAATTTCTGTTTTTCACAGGTGTCTATCAGGTTATAAACACACCTAACTTATTGGTTGTAATAAATGCATAACGGAAGGATATAGTTTAATATGAGCCATAGACCTTCCGAATCACCTGTGAAAATAAACTGAAATGGAGTATTTCTGTCTGTCAGTAACAGTCCTGAAACATTTTGTGGCTTTTGAAAAATTAGACTTTTAGTGCTCTTTGACCAAAGAGGTTTTTTTCACTCCTCTTACTATCTAGATGAGAATGGTCTAGTCATAGAAACATTTCTCCCAGACCATTTAAGAGTAGATCTACTAACTCATTCCATTGACCTAAATAACATTGGATAGGACGAAAAATTGTTTTCTCGTGATTTATTGAGATCCTATCTTTATGCACCATTACAGAAAAGTGTTTTCTTCAGTTCTTCTTGGGTTGTTTCATTTTTCATTTAAATAAACTGCTATGAGTTTATTTCAATACTTTGGTGCTACTCAGAGATTAAAAAAAAAAATCTTTGGAAAATTTCTAATATAATTTCACATTGCCATGTACACAGTGCAATAACACACAGAAGCAGGGGAAAAAAGTGGACTTCAGATTGCAAAAATTCTTGTAATGGGAGAATATAGTTAAATGGAAATGCATAACTTAAGCCACAAAGTTGTGTTTTCACACTAGCAAACCCAACATTTCTTTATTAATTACAGAAATTCCTTTCCTGTATCAATAGCCCATTTTGATTCTAGTAAAAATAAAATATCTCTAGCACCAAAATTATGGCATCTTTATACAATATTTATGGTGTTTAAAATTCTGTACTGTTTTATATAAAAGGCTAAAGGGTAATGCATACCAAGTATGCAGGAAATAAAGAAGTCTAATTGAGAGAAAGAGTGGGTACTTTTGATCTTTCCGATTTGATGTACTCTTTTCACAGGAATATATGAGCCACGAGTTAAACTAAAATAGACTGTCTGATCTGCTGGTAGGAAAGCTGGACAAAAACTGATGTAACAAATATTGAAGATGGTCAAAGTTATAACACAGGAAACTTCTCTTAGCATTGTCTGAAACAACACTGGACACATTCAAAATTAAAGTACAGGAAAATATCAGGGATCGTACTTTCGCTATAAACTTTTGCTCTAGGCTGAAACATCACATAGAAATTTTCAGCACAGCATGATCATTCCCTTGTAGTGACTGAATTAAATTTAAATTACTCCTAGAACAAAACATCTTCCCACATAAACCCTCATATACTTTCATTCTTATTACTTAAATATTACATATGTTTTTCTTTTAGAAAACAATAAATTATGCACACTGTTAGCTGCACATAGCTTTTCAGTGCTATGAAAAAAACCCACATATTAAAGAAAGGAGATTTTTTGCTGTATCTTACTATATTGTCTTCTTCTGAAAGAGAAAGATGTGTAATCAGAAGTTGTGAAGTTACAATTGCCAAACATACTTGACTAGTCAACATGGGGCCAAATCTTGCCTAAGGAAATATTGATACTGATTAAAAACAACAGAAATCTGAGGATAAACTTATAATTTCTGATCAAATGCTCCTCCATTTTAGAAACAAATTATTACATCTTGCACTGGCAGAATAGAAATAATGTAGCGTATCTCCACTAGACCTCTAATGACATGTACTGCCACCCTGTCACAGCACCCACCATGGCCTCCGAGAGGACACTAGAGCTGCTGAGGGATGATGAATCTCAACTCTCAGAGAAAGTGCTAGCAGCAGTCACTGAGACAGGATGCTGTTTTCTATATAACCCCAGGCCTGCAGCCCCAGACAAACCTCATATGTTGCGAAGCTGCTGGAAACTGAGACTTACAGAAAGGATTTTTGTTTTACTATAATCTGTGTAAGATAATTGGAACTGTTAAAATTCAGGAAAAAGACTGTTGGAAAAAAAGAAAATTAGAGGTGATATTGCTTTAAACAGCTAAATTGTAATAGTTGTTTGAAAGAAAGACCAGTGTAATGGTGAAGCACCACAGTAATTTCACAAAAAATACTAGCTAATGTAAACCTGTGTGGCTGTAATAGCTGTTACTATTTCCCTTCCTTTCCCTTCTCTCGTCTGTTATGCCCTTGCCCTTGAGAGCAGGAAATTTGCTAATACATGGCGTAACCCTGTTTCTATTTTGACCTCATCTGTAACCTTAAAGCATGACTTCAACATTTTTCAACTGATTTCAGCTGTGCTACAAAATCAACAATATCAACATTAAGAATAACTTCCCTTGTAAACAAAGATCTATGATTGGATCAACTGGATCAGGACAAAAGATCCACTGTTTTTCTACTGGCACAATAATTTAATAGCAAGGGGTGCTTATCTTTTCACTGAGACTGAAATTCATTCTTGTTTAGACTAGTGTCTAAACTTGGCACATTGGACATACGTTACGGAAATTCCTTTTAAGCCCTATGAAGGATTTAGCACTTTAGAGGGATGTAGGCAATTCATAAGCCTCTGAAATTCACTTTAGAAATTTTAGACGCACACTGTTGCAGCAGTGCCGAGACTCATTGAGTTACTGCTATACAGCAGAATGTTAGAAACCTCTCAGCCAAGGAAGAAATGGCTTCAGACAGTAGAGAAGATGTAGATGAGTCATATCATATTTTTCTTAGTGGTGAAACACAGTAAACAGAAAATAAAAACTAATTTAAGCAACAGAAGCAGCTAAAATGGCAGATAAAGAAAATAACATTGCCTTCCAAAAGAACTGTCCTATAGATCGCAAAAGAAAAGCACAGAGGGAAAAAGGCATCAGTATAGCCAGAATAATCAAAGGAGTAAGTGTTGTAGAGATAATTAGCTCACAGCCCACTTGGGGCTACTGAGAAATATGCTACTGACATATAACATGGGATATGTTTAAACACCTCTACTGTAGTGCGAGGGAGAAGGCAGAAGGCCATTTAACTACCTGAGAAGTGTGGGAAACTACTTACTAATTACCATGGGTTATATGTAAACTAGATATGGTCTACGCGCTCACAAAACCCAAATAAATAGGTTCAGTCATAAACAAATAGCCCTCAGATAATCAAAGAGCATTTTTCATCTGAGAATTATGTGCACTTAGAAGGAAATAATATCTGACCTCATTTGCAACTCTAAGTGATCTTTAAGAAGCACTGGGTTTTGGATATTGTTCCCTAAAACATTTATCTTCGAAATGAAATCAGTTTCAGTATCAGGAAAATATAGTTTTAAAATAGCAAAAAGTTTTGATTCCTTAAAGTTAGGTTTTTTTTTTAGTCTAATTGGGACCAACTGGCCTCATTGCTTCTTATAAACTTAGCAATATATATTCAGAAAAAGGAATAAAAATGAACAGATGTTTCTCCTTAAAGAAGTCAGACAAAGATTTTTCTTACACAATAAATCAGCTGCTAGTGGATTTCCAGGACACCGCTCCAGGCTAACTGTTTAGGTATGGCTTAAAATCCTAGTTTACCTCTGTATGTATCCAAAACTGGTAAAGTAGATTAAACTGCAGATGAACAGCAAACACTGAAGGAGGAATGAAAAGAGCCATGGGCAAATTGAAAATCTGAAAAATGAAAAAGAAAATATACATTAGATATAGAATTCTAAACTTGTGATGATATAACGCAGTACTATCTCAGGAGCTCAAACCACTGGACGAGATAATTGCTTCTTCTAATATCTCCATAACACAGACCTTATATTAAGTAAAATAAAAACCGATTATTATGTTACTACTAGATGTGCTGTAGCAAATGAGACATACATTTATGCAAAAGTGATTTCCCAGCAGTCATACTGAGCAAGTAGAAAAATCAAGAAAAGAACTCAGAAATCCTGAGATTAGATGTGAGATTATTTTGTGTACTATACAGAGCAGACAGCAATATATCCTTGACATGAAGGGTTCACTTATATGGGAGAATCATCACAGAGAAAGCAAGGTGTGAATTTATAACACTGTAACTTTGCCTTTCTAACTCTCCGCATGAGCATCATGAGGGCAAGGCAGCTTACCTGGCTTTCAACATTCATTATGAATTCTCGCCCTGACTTCCTCATGGCATCTCCCTTGAAGTCTTGATATTTTGCTGAGTTCTAAGGATGTGCTAGCATGAAAACAGTTTCAGAAAATGACTCACTTAGGAAAGATACTGGTATCTTCTGGTATCCCAGAGGACCAGCTATATCCTGGGCTGCATCAAAGGCAGCGTGGCCAGCAGGCCAAGGGAGATGATTCTGCCCCTCTGCTCCACTCTGGTGAGACCCCACCTGGAGTCCTGCATCCAGTTCTGGAGCTCTCAGCACAGGAAAGACATAGACCTGTTGGAGCGGGTCCAGAGGAGGGCCACAAAAACAATCAGAGCACTGGAACACCTCTCCTGTGAGGAAAGGCTGAGAGAGTTGGGACTGTTCAGCCTGGAGAAAAGAAGGCTCCAGGGAGACCTTATTGCAGCCTTCCAGTACCTGAAGTGGTCTTGTAAGAAAGATGGTGAGAAGAGGGTAGATTTATATTAGATAGGACAAAAGTCTTTCCTATGAGGGTTGTGAGGCACTGGCACAGGTTGCCCAGAGACGTTGTGGATGCCCCCTCCCTGGAAGTGTTCAAGGCCAGGCTGGATGGGGCTCTGAGCAACCTGGTCTAGTGGAAGGTGTCCCTGCCCATGGCTGGGGCGTTGGAACAAGATGATCTTTAAGGTCCTTTCCAACCCAAACCATTCTATGATTCCATGATCTTACATATAAAGTCCCAGGAATTTCATAATTAATTGTTCAACGGGCTGAGCAATAGAATAAGACTTCCAAGACCTTCATGTGTTAAAAGTCAGTCTGCTTTCTTCAGAGAAAGGCTTATCTTTTTTTTTTGCCTACTTTACATTGTGTTTTACCAGCTGGCTGCATCAAGAAATTAAGCTTTCCCTAAAATACAGAGATTTTTTCTAAATCAAACAGTAGTGGAGGTATCTTCAAAACTTTAAATCTCTTTAGCACTCAGGGAAAATTTGGGTAGCAGATAAGAGCTCCCTGTGAAACACAGTAAAATAAGCAAAATCCAATTTCTAATTCCTATCGTCCTCACAAAAATCAAATCTTTGAACATCACGGAAAGCAATCTTATAGCGATAACAGGCCTCCTGAGACAAGCATTCCTTTAGTGTAGGCTTCATGGATCACAGCTGCCCCACAGACTACATGTGGGTTGTTTCTGGAATTCAAAGGTGGTAGAAGGATTATGCTGAGCTTCTAGAACTTGGGCGAAATAATGTAAACAGGTATTTTGTTTTAATTAATCTGATCCTCAAAGGCTGAAGTGTTTGCATAACACCTATAAAACAAAAAAGAATTAAAAATATAGCTGGAAGGTGAAATTTGCACACTTGGTCCCTAAGAATCACTCAGTCTAAGTAAACCCACAAAAATTCATAGGAACTCTTACCTAATTGGGAGCTAGTAAATGTCATCAGGGGGCTGTGGCATTTAGGCATGAAATTCTGGAGTAGAGGTGGGCATGAGCCTTCTTTAAGAATTAAAAACACAGACCAGACTGCCTTGTGGAAAAGACTACTAAACAGAAGAGTGACTTTTAAACCTACAGTTCTCCATGCTCCAAAATAGAAATGTAGTGCAAGCCTCCCATACTTTAGCAGAAATGCTATTAACACTGGCATGGAGTGAATCCCTTTTCTGAGTTCTTATTTCCTCCTTCCTCTAACCTGGACCCCCTTAGTCTTTAATTATTTAAACTGGGCGAGCTACACAAAAAGTAGCCTGGGAGGAATTTGTCCCACAACAGCCAGAAGGTTTTTCTCATAGGTTATCTTACAAAGAAGCCAATGAAGGAGTAGGATGCGCAGCCATGTTTAAGTAAAGCTACTGCAGTTTTATCTTATTATTGATTGTACCTGCCTAACGGCATGATAATAGCAGGAATTTTTTTAAAAGGAATGGAGCGGAAGTTGATTTAAAAAAAAATCCCCACAGATGGTTTTCAGATTATTCATGGAAGGGGCTGCAGGACTGAAAGCAGGGTTAAAAATAATACACATTTTCCCTAGAAGTATCAGAAGCAATTTGGTGGCATTTACAGACAACTCAGAGGGAAAGGAAGGATCATCTTCATACTTATTTTCTAACCTAATTCTCATAATGAGTACTAGGATTTCCCCACTAGGCGGTGAGATGAGGGAAATTTTATACAAATCTACAGGTAAATTTGAGATTGACAAAGGAGAATGCTTTCCTGACTCATGTTTCCTTGCAATGTAAGCTTTATTTTGCACAGAAAGGATTTCAAAGATCTTTTACAAAAGTAGAACCCATAGGGAGGAATGTAAATCTCTCCCATACAAAAGATTTGGTTTCTCCTATTTGTGGTTCCACTGGAAAAATAAGAAAAATGTCAGGGGGAGAAAAAAAAAAAAATCATTAAACAGTTTTTCACTGGAAATGCCAATTCACCAAATCAAAACATTTCATGGGAATGTACCAGCGTTTACTAATCTGTAGAGCAAAAGCTTTCCTGGCTACAAGATGGAATTTCTGGTCAAAACTGCAGAAAAAAACATTTACCACACTCACAGATCTTCTCCCACTTGAGGATTCAGCAACAGGGACTGAGAGAGAGCCACAATAACTGATAACCTGATGGGAAAGGCACTCAGTGAGGGGGTGGAGAGGGATTCTTATCTGGGGCTGCTGCACTGCAGCTGTGTGCCTTCACGCTTAAGGCACTGCCCTTTTTGAAGGCTGTGTGTCCGCCACACACTCTCCAGTGCGGCTATGCCCTACCTTTCTGCCTCTCATTTGTAAGTAAAAGCTTATAAACACTTCCACTACAGAAAGGGGAAAATGTGAAACTCCTGCGGTGCAGCAGGAAGGCTGAGCTTCCCGCGTCGACCCCCTCCATTTCCAGGCTGGGTCTCTGCACAAATGCTGCGGGGCCGCAGGGCGGCTGCCGACAGACAGCTCGTTCTTCTGCGCTATACTTCTGTGAAGATTCTCCAGGAGTTCAAGGTAATGATAAAAAAAAAACCAAAAAACCATCCCTTACAAATCCCAGACCTGGCAGACTCCTCAGTCGATAAGAAGTGAACTTTGTGACTCTGTGCTGAAAAGAACAGCGTTATCGATTCCCTTTCCAGATTTATGTACAGATGTTTCCACTGTTCTTAAACCAACAAGGTGTAATTCAACACCTTATCTAAACGTATAGTTTAAAGCTATCAAATTATTACAGATTTAATGTTTGCAGTTAATCCTTACCTTTGGAGGAAAGCTGAGAACTAGTACTCAAAGAATTAAATCATAGCTTTTCAGGGTGTATATGTTACTTAGTCCTTTCACAATTACACTTCAGCTAAGTGTTTCATTAGAAGCAAAAATTTATACAGTATTAGCTTGCTGATTTCCTCTTAAAAATGAATACACATTTTTTTCCACACCTTTTTCCCGCAAAATGGCTTCAAAACCATCTGTCAGAAGTAGGTCTGCTTCTCTGTGGCCCCTCCACTGGAGTAACAGAAACGGTGTGTGTGCAAGTGACATGAAGCGATACACATTTCGTTCCAAGTTCAGGAGTACTTCTCATACCACTGATTGTACTTTAAGCATGTTTTTCTCTTCTCTTTCATTTCATATCTTTTCAATCAGCTTGAGCACAACCCACACAGATTAATATGCTGATTTATCTATCTTATAACGTTTAACTTCAAACACACACAGAGCTGGCAGCAGAAGAGTCCCACAGTCCCACATCATCCACCACAACTTTCTCACAGCCTCCACAAAACTGGATGTCATACTGCATTATAGTACACATTCAGCAATATCAGATCACTCCGACATTGACTAAAGGATTGACTGAGTTTCAGCTTCGAGGCAGATGCATTCGTCGGGTTCTGGACAAGTCTGGCAGTCAAAAAAACCAGCAGTGCTATAAGAAATAGCAAGAATTGTGTTAATGACCAGTAAAGCTTTGGAGAAAGAAAGTTCTAAGGGGAGCTAAATCAATACTTAAATTAACCAAATGTCTTGGCTAATACCAAATATTTGGTGGAAAAAACACTACACACAAAAGTATTATGGATACCTAGGTTCATTTCCCTTTGCTCAAAGCAAATTAATCTTAAAGGTACACATATTATTTGTCAAGTGATACCAGTGTCGTCCTAAGGACGGTCTTCAGAATCTAAGAAGGCCAGACATCTTGACCTTCCTGAATATTTTACACTCTCTGAGGTATCATCCTCAAAATCAAGCAGGCAGACAAAGTCCTCATGCACACACCCATACATACACACAGGCTTTTTGTCTTTTTTGAATTATTGTTTTTGTTAAGCATTTGCACATATGGTCCCAATGGGTAAATATGCAAAGGTTAAATCTTTAACATGGTAGTATTTACATAAGAAGCAGTTGTGACAGAGATGCATCCCTTCCGTTATTGTTAATTATGGCCATTTAAATTTGAGGCACTCCTACTAGATTAGATGACTATTTTCTGAACAAAAAAATAACAAGAATTTACAGAGAAGACTTAAAGAAACAAAATTAATAGTATCTATTTCACAATTTCCAGAAGAACTAGTCATTTCTTGCAATCTAGTGCTTTAACACATCTAATGTCATGGGCTTGAAACAGTTATAAACAAAAGGCTAAATCCATGCTCAGTTATGTGAGCACAAATCAAGACTAATTTTACTGAAGTTAATGGAGTTACACTGGGTTTGCATGTGTGAGTACACACTCTTGGTGCTGAATCATTTGCTCATAGGCCATTTGTAGAGATTGGCACAGGATTGTCGGTTTCCTCCATGGCCAGTATTATACCTTCCTGGAGAAGCGTATTTCTATGTTTTATATATATATGAAAATCCATTTAATATTTCTTTTGAACCCTAATTCTGAAAATTCAAATTCTGAAGTTATTATTCTTTTTTAAAGAACAAAAAACAACCAACCAACCAAACTACAATCTGAGTTAAAAAATAGAGTCAAAAGAGAATATGAGAGTACAACTGAGGAAATCAGCTGTTATCTTGGGCTCCAAACTAAACACTGAATAGTACGTTACATTTATGAATGTATCTGGAAATATAAATGTTTAAATCTGTAAATGAGTACTCGTGTTAATTTATATGCCTGTGTACACAGCTCACCATTTAAAATAAATTATATCTGAAATAACGCAAAGTAGTGGCATACTGCCCTTCCTTACTGGAGTACTGACACACGACACGAATGAGCAGAGACAAATATTTGCATGTCCAAAGCAATCATTAGTAATGATTTCTTCTCCTTTCAGTTATACAAACACATTCTAGAGTAGTCATGTTATGCTCTGATCTTTTCCTGTACTTATGCATGAATAACCAGAAGAAAAAAATGGTGCCATTTTACTAAAAAAGTCATGAAAATACAAACGCAGGGTTATAATTAGCCTTCTTAAACTTAACTACCATATCTCTTTTCAAGTTTGCTATAGAAACATTAATGAATGTATTTTCAAAGCTTCTGATTCTCAGATTCTTCAGTTTCAACCCCTGTGCTTTCAATGTCAAACTTCTTAAATAATTTATATGGTTTTCTCTGAAGGAAAATAAACTCCATGTTTTCACTTTTACTGAATCTTGTTGATATTAATTTGTTTGTCAAATCTGGTGCAACTTACCCAGGAGGTGTATTTCTGCAGTACAGATTGTCTCAAGGCTGTGAATAAGTTGTAATCTTCAGAACTATGATGTACTTGGTGCGCTGCCCACAGTATATTAACCTCTGCAAAACATAATTTCTGATGAGCTAAGTACTAGAGAACAAAGAAACATTTGTTTCTCAAGGCCTTTTTTCTTAAGCTAAAAGCAACTAATCCCCCAATTTGCACTTTGCCATTTTACCATAGTATAGCAGGTAATACAACCCAATGCTCAGACCTGAGTTTGGGTAGACTGGGTAAAATGCCAGTAAGTGGACACAAGTCAGTGTAGCTTTCATGCTGAGGAAGGTGAGGCTGTGGCAGTAACTAAAATCTCTGCTGGAAAAGCAGTAGGATGTGGGAGATGAGAGTTCAACAGCCAGAAAGCCTGAGCTGAGTCCTGATAATATGAGTCCACAGGAGCCCTGTTAGCGAGTTCAGAGGGACAAGGACTGAGCATGCTCTCATGTCTGCATTTGTTTACTGAAGTTATATTTCAAGACTAGAAGGGGACACAAAATGTTACAAAAGTCTTGCGCTTCAAATTTAAACAACTTAACTGGTGTCTGCTGTGATGCTTACAGTTTTCTGGAACACGTAAATCTTCAAGCACACTTGTACCACAGACCACAAAACACAGCCGTTGCCTGCCCACTAGTGACAAATGGAAAAACAAATCGTCGCTTGCTGGGAACTCTGGACCCTGCCAAAGGAGAGCAGTGGCTCTACTGGGTTACAGTTCAAAAAAAGTTGCTGGAGTAAGGGCAAAACCAGTCTCAGCCATGTCCTCTGAAGGCATGACACCTCTAATGCACTGCAGTGAAGGAGAATACTTCAAAATCCTGATTGTATTTCAAGGCATTTACTCATCAAGGGCACAACTGGGTGGCCCCTCTGCATTGTACATTTATATCTGGACAGTCTTAAGTGGGAGGTTAAGACAGAAATGTTCATGGTCATCAGATGTGTAACTACAAGCATGACCTTAATTATAGCAAAATGAGAAAGTGGGTGGTTGATGCAGCCCAAATAATGGCTGTTTAGCATAAAACTAAATTTAAGGTCACATGTATTTCAAGAGATGAAGTATACACAAAGCCTCAGCTGATTACAGAAATTACAAGTTAACTGGCTGTCCGCCAGTTGCACACTCCCATTCCCATTGACTTGTTTCACCAGAGCAATTAGAGAAGTGCCTTTGGCAGATACTAGAATCATATTCACAGAATGATCTTATAATGTGTATTTAAAGTCCTGAAATTATCTGGTGCCAAGCTTACATCAAATAGTTCAGGTCTGGTGATTAACATGCACTTGCAATGTAAAATAATTGCAAAAAATCCTCTTAATAAATCTCAAGGTGTCTTCACCATTTCAGCGGACTAGATAGTCTTTTAACAGGAGGTAAGCCTTGTATGCTAGAAACTGAGAATTTTAAATCTAATGAATTTTGACAGTTTAGTTATTTACATGACAACATCATTTTTTTATGTCCTCTAAGTCCTTGAAAATCCTTGCAATTGCTGAATTAAAACTGTAATTTCAACAATCATAAAAAATTTAACACTCAATCTGAGAATTCTTCTTTCTTTAAATGCATTTGTTCCTGAAGGAACAAGTGTTTACTACATCAAGAATTACTGATCTCTCTCTCAAAAAAAAGCCAACAACATCTTAACGCATCTCCACCTAATTAGCTCACTAGGATATGAATTATTCAGGTGAGTACTCAATAATAATTTGTATTTACAATGTTTCCCAAGACCTCGACAGAAGCTAAATGAGTGAACAAAGCATCTCAAAAGGTGGAGGTTAAAGATCTGTCTCCTTAGTTGTTTTAAAAGCATTTACTTCCTATCACAAACTGTGTGTAACACAAGCTTCCACTCAATGAAGTACAGCTGTACAAACAGGGTACAGTAACTGGATCTTGCTTCTTTCCCTCAGTCATTTTTCAGGATTGTGAAAAGTTCAAGGAAGGGAATCTATGATGATTTTTACAGTCTACTTTCATTGTAGTTAAGGTCAAATGGTTTTCAAAATGAATTACTAAAAAGGCATTTTATTAGCATTCATTTTTCAGTTAAACTGCCTCTTACACTAACAAGAATATGGAATAAGGTAACTAAAAACTGGTAAAATGTTAATATTTCAGATGTGTGAGTCAGTGTAAATGATCTATCATTCAAAAACATATCACAAGAATATTAGGGACATAAACAAACAATTCTGCCACAAGCAATTTAACTGCCAAAGCTATTTCTGACTTCTTCTGTTACAGCTAAGTAAATTAAATCCCGCTCCTTAATCATATTCTTGCTGACATCATTGGCACAGACTATGTTAAATTTCTTGGCAAAATAGGCAGAGTTGATGGCTGGAAATAATTTTTTGTCTTAAAAATTTATCTGAAAAAACTGATCACCAATAACTTTTTATTTGAAACAAAAGAATAACATCATGAAGAAGCATGAAATAGATCACCCCAAAACTCCGTCTGTAACCACCAGCACATCAAAAATATTACAGTCATAATAATGCCTAAGAAACATCTCACAAAGGTAAGAAACAGACCAAGCACTCTTCAAGGAATACAGCTGACTGCTCACCAACTACCCACGACAGAAACCAAAACGCATGTGTCTATAGAAGAGCTGTGGTTTCACTTCTTCATTCGTAATTATGACAACTTGCAGCAAAATGAGAAAAGTTATTTGAATGAGAATGAAATTATATAAGACTGTCTCATATCCACTTCCTCACACTTATTACAGACTGACTTAAAAAGAGAGTAAGACTGAGATACGGGCCAATTCCAACACTTTAAAAAAAACCAAACAACTATGTAGAAAACAGGAAGTACTACTGCATTTTGTACATCTCTCCTGTTCAAATTCTCTCACAAAGCCACAAGAAAAAAGTAGGTGAAGGAATTGGAGAAGACATCCAGACAATATTCTAATGGATTTTTTTATGTTTTCTAAGTCAAATGTGATTGGTAAATAAATTTAAAAATCACTTAACTGGAACATACATAGGCACAAACTCACTATTTTTGATTCAGGAGAGTGAACATCATAGACTCAAAGTATAATTCAGGCTGGAAAGGATGGCAGGAGTTCTCTAGTCCAACCCCCTGTGCACAGCAGGACCACCTATGAGGTTTCTGAGTGCTCCACCCAGTTTGGTCTTGGAAACTTTCTGCATCTTTTGCTACAGTGGAGAACTATCTCAAACAGAAGATAAAGGTGGCATTTCTGTTTTGTGTATTTTTGAGGAAAGTTACTCAATTTCCAACCTAGCACAACAAGGGCCTGCTATCCTGGTGTGCTGTTTTCAGGTTCCTTTTAGTGGGTGGAGACCTGGTGTGCTATTTGGGTCTGAGGAACAACAGAACAACTACATCTTGCTACTGAAGTTAATAATTAATACATTAGTATTACCACTGTACAGAATCAATCCATATATTTTTCTGTCACCTCATATAAACTGTAAAAGAATCAGCATGTAATTGCATAAGAGAATGAATGGTGCCACCTAGATAGGTGAAGAAGGAAAGAAAGTTGGTGGTACACAAGAATTGCTGGATTATGAGTAGGTTATCATTTGGCCCCCAGTTTTCACTCTATCTGTTTAAGCCACCATGAAGTTATCTCAGACTCAGACCTGCAGTTGCTAAAATCAGTGAGCTCCAAGCAGTTGAGAGATTTATATCTGAATACTAATGCGAAAGGAAAATGAAATTTGTCTTCAGTCCAATATATGAACTCTACTGATAAGAAAATTAGATGCTGAAGAAACTGGCCTGGAGAAGATTTGGGGGGACTTAATAGCAGCCTTGCAGCACCAGTGAAGCACCAATTATCAAGAAGCTGGAGTCAGGCTTTTTGCAGCAGTCCCACTTTGTCTCCTTTTCAGGGTTTTCTAAAAGGAAGAAAGATTAATGATGTCATCCTCCTTTTCCACTTCTTCCCTCCCTCCTCCTCCTAATTAATACAAAAAAAAGTAATCTTTCACACACCATCACAACCATATTGGTATGGCAACCGATGATTCCACTTTGCTTTATTTTTTTCTGTTTCAGATTTGGTTTTTAGCACTAGTCAAATCCCTTTTTATGAGACTCAAAGACAAATCCAATGTCTGGGCCATATTTCACTACTTCTGAAGTGTTTTCCTTGTGGTAGTAGGAATTGGTCATCATGCACATAAGATTTCCCTCTAAGAATACATAACCTGTAAAGTTCAAAATGAGACTTTGTTGTTCTTCACTTCTATAGCTTTCAGTGATTTCCACAGCCCACCAAATTTTGATCAGCAACAGGAGAAAATACGTATGCCAAAAAACCCTGTAGTCATTTCAAGGAGGTATGTCAATGAAAAAAATCATTTAACACAGTCCTCAAAATCAGTGAAATCGTAAAGATTTGATGAGTCTTTAGTGAATAAAAAAGATAAGATAGACTTTAAGGGGGTAATTTCTTTGCACACAGCTTTACAAGACCTGAATCTTAAGTAAAGTGGAAAAAAATAGTTAGAAATACATCCATATGACGAGTCATGTAAAGTTTCCATTCCCCTTCAGTCCACGCTGACTGCAGCTAGGAGAACAGGTGGAAGTTTCCTCTCAGCATCTACTTAAATTTAAACAAAACCTTCAGTTTCACTATGCTTGGAATCTCTTACAAGAATAAATGTCTTCAGTATTCAGTGACGAACTGAACTACAATTTACGCAGCTAGAAAATTAGCAGATAGAAAAATTACATTTACTGCGCCATGGACTACCACATCACGATGAACTCTGCAAAGCCAAGCATGTGACAAGAAATCCTTCGCCCATGGCATGGTCCCTGCTGAACCTAGCATAGAAACTGCTGCTTCCTAGAGCAGCTGTAACCTGCAGTGTTTCAGAAGCTCTCCGGCTTCTGAATTCTCCAGTCAAAATTAGCAGAAACTCCAAGATGACTCAGGAAAGAAAAATGGCCTGGAAAGTCCATCTTCCAGTCATTCCTTTTCTACATATTTCAACACTATCTACACAGATAAAATAGAGAAGAATACACAGTATTTAAATAATTTCTCCACTAAAATATCAGCTTTTCTTATTCACAAAACAACAATTGCTTGACTGCTTACTACCTTCCTGCTTTATTCTAATTGATCTGTTCTGCTGATGCTTCTGAAATGTTTGAATAAAACTCTTCTCATCATGCAGGGCTTTTTCAAAGAGTCTCGTTCCCTGCTGGATTCTACACTTGCATTGGATGAACAACAACCAAGAGAGAGCACCACTTAGGTTTTGTTACTGAGAGGGATGATTACCAGATTTTTAAAATAAAAGTTGGCTAAAAAACTGTATTTCAGGACCTAGAGTGGATGCCTTTATTAAAATTCGGAATTCACCCCAGAATCCATTACACTTCACATGAGAACAGAAATCTACCTGCACAGATTAGTCATCATCTTCACAACAGAAGTAAATATAATCCGTACATGACTGTTCTATTTAGTCTGTTGTGGTGTAATCCCTCTTTTGTTACTCTTCTGATCCAACTTTGCTTTATGTTTTTTATTCTAGTGTGGTTCAGTAAGAGCTGTAAGATAGGTTATTTGCCAAAAGCCTCTGCTTCCTTCTTATTAGAAATATAATTCTTCTAGGAACAAATTCTTTCCTCGGTTACATTAGTGTAAGCGTAGGGCTGTATGGGTTTAATGAGAACAGGATTAGATCCAAGGAATTTATCTGGAAGACTGTATTATACACCACACACAAAGAAGTCTGTATACAAGGAAATGTACACTTTTATTTTTTTTTAACAAGACACATTTTTCTTAAATTGTGGCCTTGGCTACAGCGAGTGTTAGCAGTTTGTATTCTCAGGACGATCACCTATGCAAATCAAAGGACTAGCTGGAAAGAGTTCTGAGTTGAAGTGGTGAATTAGACTTGATTCACAATATAGCTTCAAACAATTTTCTTAACTTTCTTCTTCTGCACATTTTTATCTGTTCATGCACCTGACACAGATCAGTTCTCAGCATGTAGGAGGTAGGAGTTCCACCGCTATTTAGAATAACAGGAAAAACAGAATACACTAGCCTTTGCTCCCAGAGTTTGTTTGTCAGGAGGAGAAGTGGAAAAACTCTTCAGCCTCAGCACCATCTGGTCCTCTTTGGTCATTAAATATATTGTGGTACCCAGGTAACTCTGGGATAGGCAATCACGCAGCATGACACACGTCTAGTCTGAAACAGAAAATAATCCTGCCATGAGACACTCTGTAACCTACAGAGTTGCAATCCAGTAGCTTAATTAGGAAATTTCGCTAGGCGCTCAACATCTGATCCTTCCATGATGTGAGATGTGCTTTTTCTGTGCTTTGTTCAGTATTATTTCTGTTTTTCAACCCTCTCCTTAAGTTACTGTATGCGGTCAGCAAACTATTTAGTGAGTGGGCTAACTTACAATCAAGTAATACATGGTATATGCTCCCATGGCTTACAAGCCAAAAATTGGAGCAACCTTCTACAAAACCTGCCTCCAGAATCTGTGCACAAGCCAAAACCTCCTGCTTGATCTGCTGCCATACCAGTTGAAAACACAAAACTGCTCCCACACGAAAAATCCACAATAAGATCTGCAAAACTTAAGATGCAGAATGGTCTAGGGAAACGTGGGAAGAATCAAGACACGCCAAAGTATTACATATGCTACCCAGAACAAACAACGGGCCAGACCATATCCCCTCTTAGTAAGAATCCAGGGGACTGTGAAATATACTCAAATACACTTCTGAATCTGTAAAATACTTAAGATATCACATGCTTAGGAAAGCAGAGCTTTGCCAGGTCAAAAATAATGGTCCTCTCAACACATACATGCCCTATGTTATTTCCTGGCATCCTCGTAAGCATAGGACATCAATGGAAAAGCTAGAAAATGTCATAGTGTTCCCAAAGACTCAGTCTGTTCCAGTAGCAGTAGTTCCCCTAGAAGCTAAGCTACATGGACCAAACTTCCTGCAGCATAGTTATATCAATGTAAACAAAAGTCAGAGTCTCTGTTAATTACATTAGGAGAGTCCTAACCCATGGCCTGTGAGCTTCTCATATAGTTTCCAGGAACTGAAGAGTCTCTTTCCACACATGCCATGGAAAACCACAAAGCAATAAAGGTTATTAGGTAAGGATTCAGAAATTAATTCACAGTGACTGAACCTCTCACTTTGCTCATAGTTTTAATAGAAAATGAATGTGCATGCCTTTGTGAGGAAAGATATTGAGAAGATAAATGATCCAAACCAATTTTAGCATGCAAATGTTGAATTTGGACACTCCCACAAAGACAAATAGGAAAAATTCAAAAGATGAACAAACACACAGAAGGAATGAAGTTTCAGGAACATTTATAGATGTAACCTCTGAAAAAAGTGGAATATTTGGCAAGTCTTTCAGTATGCAGCAGGTCTCACACAAATTCTGCTATACCAGCTTGCCCAGCCACCTTGTTTCTCACACCTTCATGAAGCCAATTGTTGAAGTTCTCTAGTTGCTTGGAGAAGCTCTGCAGCTGGTTAAAGTTTTGTTTCCCTGAGCTCTGGATGATCTCCATAGCAAAGATCTGAGCCTTTGGATCGTGAGGAACCATGACGTGGCAGCTGTTACACTGCCCCTTGTCTCTTCCGTGGGTGTATGCGGCTTGATTTGGGTATCCTGTTTTCCAGTTGTTCTGGCTTTCATAACAGATTCTAGGTGTAAGATGCTGAAAACAGCTCTGATTTTTACCAAAGACTAAATTGGTGCCACAGCAGTTTCAAGGATGACTAAATCATAGCATAAAATCCTGTTTGTGAACCCAGTCCCAAGCCATGTCAAGCATTTCCCACCAATATTGACCTCAAGCTTTTCAATTATCCATTCTTCAGTGAGGGTTCCTACTGCTTATAGCAAGGTTTATCCACCTTACACCCTCACAGCCTCTTGATTGAGTGACACAGTATATGTTAACTTCTGCAGCTCATTGATGTAGCAATTTTTTGCAGCACTTAGCTATTTCTGCACCTTTTTCACTACAAAGAGGAGCATATGGCTCATTAATTGCACAACTATAAATCATCCTGTTGGTGAAATTAGACTGATATGTTAAAATAAAAACGTGCAGCAAATTTCTGTGTAAAGAAGAAGATCCTCAGCAGCTGGTGCAAAGTGATCTGTGCCACTTTATACAAGCTGCAGATTTGACTCAAGCTTCTCCAAATATGGCTGATTACAGCACTGGCAATTCCTAGTTCTGAGCATTTGCCAACCTGTATAATATAACTTGGTGTTACTGAATACTGATTGTCAAACTGTGGTATAAATGTGTGAAACACATTAACTGTGACCAAATTCACACTCTACTCCTTACCTGGATGATAAAGAGGACTGAGATTAAATTAAACAGTCTTTTTTTTAAAAAAAAAAAGTTGCTTCAGATAACCTACTTTTTTTTTTTACTTCAATTCTTTAATTTTTTCCTTCTCCCAAAGCGTCTCAGCCACTGAAATGTCAGTTTATGCAATTCGAGAACACATTCACCTTGAAGGATCTTAGAAGGAAATTGCTGGAATGAAGTAGAAAAAAAAAGAAGATAATTCTTCTTTTGGTTTTTTTGGTGGAGGAGTAGGGGTGAGAGTTCTTATTCTCCTGTATTCTGGGCTGTCTCTACAAAAGATTGATGTCTGGTGTCACCGTTCGGAAGTGCAAACTGTTCAGCTTCATTGCAATCTATGTCCTCATCCTCTTGCTCTGCAGGATACCACATACTTTGGCAGGCAATATTCAGATGGGAAGCACTTTAATGGCAAGAATGGATGCCAGTGAAACCTTTTCCCACAATGTTCAAAACTCTGAAAGTGCATATGTTAAAGTGACATAAAGCTGCAGGATATTAGGAAGAAAACAGTAACTAACTTAGTCACATTAATCTTACTTTTTGCCCCTCAGAACAATACAATCAAAGAATGCTATGGACGTACACACACACACAAAAAAAAAAAAAAAAGAAAAGAAAAAGAAAAAAAAAAGGATGAACTGGAATGAATTAAAGTCCTCCAACTCAAAGATATAAACACTCTCTTTCAAAGGAAATATCCATGGCTCCTTCACATAACTTCTACCTTGTAGGATGAATTCCTGCATTCATTTATTTGGTTCTTCATTTTTCCAAGCCAGATGCAGTAAGAATAACAGGTGAATGGAGTTACTCTGGTGTAAAAGAGGAATTAGCTCTACATAATTTTCTCTTGCAGAGGGTATTAGATGATTTATTAAGCCAAGTTCCAGAATGATAGATGTGTGGAAATGCAGACTAGATTTCAAAGGAGTCTACTGAAATTTACTGAGATATCAGGAAAGCCTGGGGGACATCAAGACACACACACATGCGCCCTGCCCCCCCCCCCCCCCACAAAAATAAACTTTTAAAATATTCTAGAAAAAAACATTTACATTCAACTTTCGCCCCACTCCTTCATAGATTTACAAATCATAGAAAAAGTCAGACAGACACTTCGGGCAACGCACAGGAGTTTTATACTTTCTATGGACCTGATCCTAAACTTACTGAATTCAGTTGAAAATTATCCATTAACTTTAACAGATTTTGAAACAAGTTTATGATATAGTATACCATTCAAAATACAGGACAGTTAACACTTTGAAGTCAAATTCAGGTTTTTAGTGGGATTGGCCACCCATATTTATTTACACATTTATTTTACAAGTGTCAGATAACTTCTCTGAGAAATATAAAGAACCAATGCAGTAAGCACCTGATACCATGTTCTTAATTTAACAGTGATAGATCCATTATATTTGGTAGTCATACTGCTTATGTACAGCGTATGTGATAAATACGAAACCTCCACTTCTACAGATTACATCGGGACCAGTGTTGTCAGTACTTATAGTCTCATTCCTAAAAGCACATAGCTAGTCATAGGTCCTCTGTGTTCATCAAGTAATTAAATTGTATTTTTCATACAATACATTGGTTCTGGACACTATTAAGCATGCTGAAACTTTCATAGCCTTTTCCGTTTATCATTCTAACAAGAAGGACATGGAAGCCACATAGACAGACAGATTAGATAAAAAAAGCAGGTCATAGACAGCTGTCAAAGGATGTAGACTCAATTTAAAGGTGAAAAAGAAAGGGGGCATATAAGCTTGCCTCCATACCCTACCAAGCTGGGATCCATCTGGTAGAGCCCACCCCTAAGTGTGTCAGCTAGGACAGTCTAGAGGATGCCTCCAGCACCAGAATGCCATCCTCAAGGTTTTCTCTCCCACTGCTCCCTGCCTTGTCCCTTCAGCAGGGAACAAAGACACCTGCCTAAATTAGGCCTACACAATTAGATCTTTACATTGGAGCCATCCATAGGGTTACAGGTACCCACAGTATGATCAAACACATTTAGCAAAAGGGCATGAAACAGCCTTTAAAAAAGCCTTTTGCTTGAGTGTCCATTGCTACTGATGCTATCTCTAGAACTTTGACCATCAGGAGGAGATCTTTAAGGTCCCTTCCAACCCTTACCATTCTATGATTCTATGAGCTATTTTATATTCCATTTCCTTTTTCCCCAACATATTAATAAATGATTACTAGCTGAAGACTCGTAAAGCCACACGCAGCAGAGTTTCAGGTACAGAGTTCATTTCAATGTTTGCCGTAAGTTTTGGTAGTGATGTTTGTGGGGCCAAAGCTGCTCCAGCACTGCCAGCAAACACTGAAACAGATTACTGGTCTGGGAGTGTAAAATGAGGGTTGGCAACAATAGCAGCTAACAGACAAAGCCGGAGGTGCGGGGGAGCAGGAATACCAACAGGCTCCTATGATGCTAATCCAGACTGATTTGTCAAAGAACAGCTATAGCGCTTGACCTGTAAAGGCACTCCTCCCACATGCTCACTGGTTTTTGCAGCCACATGTGTCCTGACTGATGTTGCATTTTCTAACTTTAAAGGGCTACAGCTAGTGGCTAGATAATTACTAGCAGAGCTAACAGAAAGGAAAGGATTTCAGAGACAGAAAATACCAAGTATGGAAAGGAATGATTTTTTTTAACTGATTAATACATCCCACTGTAAATTAATTAATTTTTACCCTTTATTGGTTTGCTCTAAGATATAAAATAAGCTAAGACTAAAAGCTCAATGCAAGAGACATCTGTTGCACTTTGTACTTTCCAAACACACAAAAATAAGCATTAAAGCTATGAAGTGCAAGATACTAGACTGCAGACTTACCTCAGCCACTAAAACTGCATATAGGAAACAGGTCTGCCTAAGAAAAATAGGCTCCTCTATTTTATAAAGTGTCATTACTATCTGGCAAGGGTAGGGTAGTTTATATTTTCAGTATAAAAATAGAAGGTTTTGCTGCTTTGAGATCTCTGGTTAAAATCCATTGCTAGACAAAAGAAGTGACCCAAAATGAGAGTATGCAGTTGGCCTCTTTAGGCAGTTTGTGCCAAATGAAACTCTAGTCTACCAAAAAAATCTAGTTACTCCACAGCCGGTCTCCTCCCACAGTTAGCAGGGGAGGAGAGGGAAACAGAGAATCTTTATCTGCAAAGTGTTGATTTTTTTATGGAAAACATACTTGTGAGTACAAAGTTTTACAGTGTGTTAAGACATATCAAACAGTAAGCACTTATGTATAATTTCATAGGATATTTTATATGCACGCCAGTGCCCATTATCTCTATGCCCAGCATGGGAGCTTTCTAAACTTGCACGTTAAATAACTGCCCCCTGTTCATCCCAGTGCTAAGTTACATTCTTTGGTAGAAGGCCCCAGCAATGGATGAAGTCTTTTTTTTTCAGCTGCTCAGCTAAGAGACACTCAGCGGCAGCTGAAAAATGGCCAGAGGGAAGCACAGCACAACTGTGCCAGTCCAGGCTAAGAATATCCTTTGCAAAAAACCCAGAGGAATTGCTAGGAGCTTACACTAGGACATCAAGACCCAGATAATCAAAGTAGTATAATTTACAGCACCTGGTGCCAGTATCACAAAACCTAGGACAGTGGCAATAGCACAGTAACCTTCTTTATTTCACATCCAGGGACCAGGAAGTAGGGGAAAAGGAGAAAAAAAAATAAAAGAAGAAAAAAGAAAAGAAAAAATGGTATGAACATAAGTGAACCTAATTTAGATTTAGCTGCTGAAACACATCAGGACCGTATGCATATGTGTTTATATAGAACTTGAAGGATACGAAGGTTGACATTATTTTGCAGAAACTGATCAAACCATTGTTTAAGTGATTGTCTATATAATTTTTATCCTATTTAAATAACATTCCCAACTATTTAACCACCGCCACAGAGAAGCAGCATATCTGATAAAGTAAATGGGAATTGAGAGATATGGGCAGAACAGTAGATTTCTCTGTTCCTCAGTTTATAGAATGAAAATATTACTAGTCAGGGCTATTGTTTACCTCCCTCTGCTACTAGCGAAAAGAACTGCAGATTAAGAGTACTAAATACTCTCCTTATTCATAGAATAGTTTGAGTTGAAAGGGACCTTTAAAGGCCATCTAGTCCAACACCACTGCAATAAGCAGAGATATCTTCCACCAGACCAGGCTGCTCAGAGC